TTTTTTTTTTTTATTTCAGTTTATCCAATGTAAAAATGTTCAAACTTTGTTACATAAATTAATTTATGGTTACAAAACTAGTTAATTGGTTCATTTACAGGTATTTTGATAGTCAAACACTAAAAAGAAGCTTAAAAAGTTAATTCTGTTTTAGTATTCATGTTCCAAGCTAGGCTAGACTAATTTTGACTTGACTTCTTTATACTGTAAGTGTTTTTCAAGTTTCTTGAAACCGTTGTTGATAAATGATCCTTTTTTCTCCGAATTACTTTTTGGGAAACTAGCGGAATTTATTAGCATTTCAGTTGCAGCGTTAAAAATAAATTATTAGGCAAAAGTGGAAATGATGATATGATTTGGTGCTTCTTTTCGTATTTAATTCTATGATTCGCCTATGGCTACACTAATTTTTTAGAATTTTTATCTCTTGTTCAATTATTACAGTGGTTATTGTTATTATTATTATCACCACTACTACTATTACTGTTACTTCCACTATTGTTGTTAATCGTCATTTTACATTTAGATGACAAAGAGGGTGCAGCTGTATGCAGTTTGAGTTGCCTTGTGACAAGTTGCCTTTTTACGAAGTTAGTTTGTATATTTGGTTGTTATTTAATTGAATTTTACGGTATTCATTATAGATAGAGTTGTTAGTATCTTAACTTTTCCTGTGAGGAGTATAGGTTTAACTTTTCCTGTGAGGAGTATAGGTTTAACTTTTCTTGTGAGGAGTATATTTTTACAATACGTTTTATTTTTGGCTCGTCATAAAATCTTTTCGCATGTATGAAGTTAAGCATCTTGGATTAAAATTGAAAAATGTCTAGTAACTTTCGTTTTCAGAGCTGTTGCGTCATCTCCCTCTGCTGTTCCATCAAAGCCATTTCTTAGGCCTAGTTTGTTTTCCAATGTGCCACCTACAATTCTTTTTTATGTTAAAGGAGCGAAAGGTACAAACTTTTATGGAATTATTTTGGAATATTCAACTGTATAAATTTTTTCGAGGTACTGGCTTCTAATTACTTGATGATTTTGAGATTCAGCTTGCCTTGACTTTTTTAGTGGCAAAACCAAACAAATCCGTGTGCTCGAAATTAACCTGGTGCCATAATAGCTTGCTTCCGATTGTCATGAGGCAGTGCCTTTCTGCTAGTCATTTTAAAGTTGTTGATGAAAATTCGAAATGGATTGGTTATTGGGGGAGACATTTGAAATCAGTGCAGTACAAAACTATCCAACCATATCAGAAGGCAAGTCTAAGTTTTTTTGTATTTATCGTGGCAAAGACTTGGTTCTTTGAAAAGTTTCCCTAACTTTGCTTTTTTTTCATCATTTAGAAGAGAAAATTTGATAAGCTCACTGAAAAGAGAATTACAGAAATCTTTCTATCATCAGATTTTGTTTGGGAATTTCAGGTAAATCACTTTCCTGGGGCTTTCCATATGGGCAGAAAGGATCGCTTATGGCAACATATCCAAGAAATGATGGATTTATGGGGTGAAGATGAATACTGTATTATGCCTACAACTTACATATTACCACGCGAAATGAAGAAATTAAAGGAGTACCTTCATTCTTCTAAACATAGAAATGTCATAGTCAAACCGGTTAGCTGGAACTTATTTAAAAAATGATATGAACTCTATGAATTTCCGACTTGGTTTTTGTCAGAACCTGAGGACCTTAGAGCAACGAGTAGTATTTTCTAAGCATTTTGTTAATCTTCTATGGAATTTGAACATTCCAATTTTGCTGCTTCTCCAGTTTTCTTTTCTCACCGTTATACACTTTTAAGCCTGCATCTGCTCGAGGCACTGGAATAACAATTGCTAGTCGGGTTCGCCAAATACCTGCTAAAACTCCTTTAGTTGCACAGCAGTAAGTTTTTCACGGCTGTGATAATTCTGGCATGTTAAAGCTTCCATGATGTTCTTTTAATCGTTTAAACTCACTGGGGGGTTTTCAGTTACCTAGAACGGCCGCTACTAATAAATGGTGCTAAATTTGATCTGAGACTGTATGTACATATACCTTGTTTGGATCCGCTTCGGATATATTATTACAAAGAAGGCCTCGTTCGTTTCGCAAGTGTTCCGTCAGTTCCTTTACCTGTGGTTATTCCCTGCTTTATCCCGTTTTCGTTTGAGTTTTATTTTTTTAGATACAGCTCTACCCCGTCGTCATATTCCAATAAGTTTATTCACTTAACAAACTATAGTATAAACAAATTTGCGGAGTCTGCAGGCGAACGCACGTCCCCTGTACCGAAATGGCGAGTTAATGAGTTGTGGGATTACATGGCAAAGGATCATGACGTTCCGCTTCTTCAAAAGCGCATTATTGATGTTATCATCAAGGCAGTTCTAGCGTAATCAACTTCTTATGTTTTGATTTGCTTGTTTCTTAATAAAGGGTCGGTTTATCAAAATCTCTGGCTGCTTTAATTTTTTTTAAGCTTGAAAGTATTAAAAAGAAAGTGAAGAGCGCCAAAAAATTCATTTGCTGTTACTGTAACGGCTCCGTTTGTTTTAGGGTTTCTAACACGTTGGACCCTTCGGTTTTAAGGGTTTTTATCAAATAACGTTTAAGTCGTTTAAGGTGTGAGAATTCAATCCGGGCGCATCAGAAGAAGCATAGTCCTTACTCTTTTACAAGTCACGAATTATACGGAATGGATATACTGATTGATGAGGACTTAAAACCATGGCTTCTAGAAGTTAGAAACAGTTTTTGGGACTTGGTCCACGAATCTCTAAGCAGCTGGAATAAGTTCAAGCATAAATGAATGTGAATTTCAGGTCAATATTTCCCCCTCTCTTCATTCCGGCACTCCTTTAGATATTAGTGTCAAAGCTCCGCTTGCTAAGGATGTTCTGAACCTTTGCGGCGTGCAAATTCCTCCCCAGCAAAGGTGTGACAAGTTAAAATTTATCTGTATATCTTCCATTTATTGGTATTAATTGGTCGGCTTAAATTGGTTATCGTAAGAGTTCTGTAGACTGTGCTGCGTAGCTTATAAAATGACATTTTAATTTAGTGGTCACTCGTCGCTTTCAATTGATTATGGAGTTAAGCCGTTTCACGGGCTAAAAACTAAAGAAGATCTTAGCAAAGAGGAATTTCATATCAGTTATTACAACCGATGTAAAGTATGTCTCAAACAGTTATTAGGCTTCTTTTTTGCACTAACATTATGATCATAAACTAATTCCACACAGAAATCTAAACTGAGAGGAATAGTATTATTGCAGATAATAGATCCCGGTATACTAGATGAGCTGACCCCGTCGGATGTCCGAACGCTTGTTGATTTTGAAGACGAGCTGACGCGAGTGGGGAGTTTTGAACTTATTTTTCCTACGGTCGAAACTGAAAGATACACCAAATATTTCAATGAAATTTTATACTCAAATCTTTTATTAATGTACTGGCAAAAAGTGTACAGCGAAGACCGTGGAAGAGGACGAAAGATTTTAGATGAACTCTGTAAAGAGGGTCTTCATCACTCAGATATCTCAATTGAACAGTTTGCTCAGTGACTTTACATTTCATTTCCTAACGGAATTTGATATTTTTGCATAGATTTTGATTTGTTATCTTTTCTTTGATGTTAACAGTCAATTGCCAAAGTTGTTGTATAAACCCAGGTACGTTCCATTTTTGTTTACCTAACCGATAACTTTCATTCCAAACGTCACTGTCCTTCAATTTTCGCTTCTGAGTTCAATTACTAAGCAGTTTATGAACATTGTGAATCTCTTGTACGAACAGCCTTGCGTAACGTGTGCGTAAATGAAAGGGATTGTTTCACTCATTTCTTTCATCACTTCTGGTATTTTTTAGCATGGAAACCCATGTTTTTTCCTTTTTGTAGATAAAGTGCCATTTGTCGCGGAAAAAAAAAAGAAATTTTAAGCATTCACTTTGCCAATAATTAAAGTACAACTAATAACCAACTATTCCCACTAATGCTTGGATTCTAACCAATCTCCTCCATTATTGTTTAATGAAAGCCTGTATTGTTATGTTTATATTTCTCAAAAGCTGATCCGTCCTTCTGCATTTATCAGAGATTGTTTTTCAAAACAGTTAAAGAGGTTTCGTTTAGATAAGTTTTTTTTTTTCTTTTTTTTGAGTTCAGTATCACTAGATTCAAAGTCGCAATATGCAGCAGTCAATGAATAGCCTAATAGAGGTTTCTCCTGATGTAAATTATAAAATAAATAAAATCTGCCCTTCTGGATACTGTATATTTAGTGTCCTACACAAAAGTGTCTACCACAAATGTAACAAGACTCAGTCTGTAACCACAAGCCAATTGAGCTGCTAGGCAATTTACGATACACACTAGGAATACCGTATACAGCAGCTAACAAACATCAATGAGGAAGTGTCCATGAACTAAAAGTTGGCATATGACTCTACATTGCCGCTCACAGCAAATCATTGGCAGAAAACTTGAACTGGTTGTGTAGTATTAATTACCGGACCACCCATGCATACAAAATACTGCACAGACAACATACACGAAGTACAAGCTGCATCTCACACATACTTTTGGCTAAAGTTTGCGGCATACTAGCGGTTTTTTGGGCAGCTACTTTGCTTCAGGGGATTAATCAGCAGTTTCGTAAATTGTTTTTGTGTTGAAAATGCCATTTCGGCTGGCCTTTGTAGGGCTGAGGTTGACCACACTTGGCTGCTTTATTTCACTGATTTAACATGACTCAGCTAAAGGAGATTTTTTATCCAAATTATCAAGTTTCAAGTAATAATCGAATGTTATAGTATAATTTGGAGGGTGCTTGGTACAAATTTGGACGGAATTTTGTTCTTTATGTGTTTTTTAAAGTCACTTTGAGCTGGTGGTTAACGGAGTTTGGCGAAGAAGACTTTGTCGTATTTGCAGACTAGTTTCTAATTTTGGAAGTGAAAAGTTAGTAATTACGTTATTCGAGGTTTAATATCATTCCTGTAGAAACAGCCTTGATGTATCATGCATGAGTTTTATATTGCACTGTTTTCATTTTTGGTGGAAGGACAAGAGTCAACTGTTATACCGGTTATGTGCTGATGTTCTTTTCGAGGTAATGGGTGAACTTTCGGAGGTGCAACAGTTAACTTTTCGACTTTAATTTGTTCTCTCTATACCATCTTTAAGCACCTCGTACTGTGACAAAAGTTAATGAAGATTAGTCACTCATCCCAGAAGAGAGTAACTCTGAAGAGCACAAAAAGTCGAGCTTGTGCTGTAGCAGTCTTAAGTTGGACTAGTTTCTGCAATAATAACTTTTGATGTGGTATTGGTACTTCAACATTGGGTATATAGGTTAATTTTCTAGTCTTTATTGGATTTTTAGATTGTTGTACTACTTGCACTTTAACAGTAAATAAGGTGACTTAAATTTGTGGTTTCTTTTTCAGTGGCTTAATTAAAACGGTTTGCAACAACGGTTTTTCTAAAAACCGTATTTAGGTCGTTAAGGTTCCTACCAGATGTCTGACAGCCCTTTAGCAAAGCGACTGCGAAGAGAAGATCCAAGCTCTCGTGTAGTTCATGTATGCAACTTGACCATTGGGGTTTGTGAAGCAGATCTCGTAGAGGCTTTATCGCGTTTCGGTTATGTATCATATGTAACATGCTTATCTACCAAAAACGCGGCTCTGGTTGAGTTTGAGGTGTGTTTGATAAACGAAACAGGCCATTCGTTTTTGTCGTTACAATATATTTTGATGACGAATGAGTCATATGGGACAAGTTGTGGAACTCTGGATTCTAATTTCTTAACGGCTTTCTAATGCTTACTTCATTACTGCTACCAATATATGTGTTCCTAATTTGGTTACAAGCTTCTTTCCGGTCAATAACATCGTAAAGTTGCAATTTGTAAGAATTTTAGGAACTTGAAGATGCTCAGGCATGTGTTGATTATGCCAAAGAGCATACAATTTACGTTTCCGGACACGAAGCTCAGTTCAGTTACTCAATTTCGAAAAAGATTCAGCGAGTGGGTTTGGAAACTTCCGAACCAAATCATGTTCTAATACTAACGATATACAATGCTTATTATCCGATAAATGTCAATGTTATCCATAAGGTTCATCACATATCCCAACTTGGAAATGTATTTTTGTTGATACTTTACATGCATAATCGGTTCGTTTAACGTATTCTCAGATCTGCTCACCATATGGTTTCGTTAGAAGAATCGTAATAATTCGGAGAAACCTTTTGCATTCTTTGGTGGAGTTTGTTAATGTAGAGGAAGCGAGGGCAGCCAAACGAGCGATTAACGGCGCAGACATTTATACAGGATGCTGTACTTTGAAAGCCGAGTTTGCGAAAGTAAGAGAACTTCTGAAAAAGAGAGTCGTATTATAAAGATGCCTCTGTTTTTATTCCAATTGGTAATTATTCTGGCTTATTTTTTAGCCGGATATCGTGAAAGTTCAAAACAACTCGATGGACGCGTGGGATTACACTTTACAGCAAGATCTTAGTAATAATCCTAATTACTTTCTTGAAAAGCTTGTAGTTTTTTACGGCAGTGAATCTTCTTCTATTCGGCATTGTGGTAAAGCTAAAATGGATTCAGATCCAAGAGCGCTGTATATGGAAAGGAGTGGTTTCGAGCCTATAGGAATTATTAACGGTAGTGAGATTGTTGGATCTGTTATCATGGTTTACGGGATTGACCACATTTACTTTAATTGTTTGAAGCTGTTCAATATATTTTGTCTCTACGGTAATTGCGAGAAGGTGAGGTGGTAATTTTTCTACAAGAAATGATCGTTCGTTGCATTTGGTACTTTTGAAGTTGTCGTGAACCTTGTTTTTCAGTTTGAAACT